CAATAATTATAAATTGAGTAAATATAATGACTCTGCAACAACGCATGGATATTGTGTTAAAGCTGATTTTAAGAAAGAGATCTTCTCGAACATATAATCTTTACATTCTTCATCGTCACAATCTTTTAAGCAACATTCAATGAGTGAGTTTATGAAGAGAAAACCCAGCATAACAACAATTCTTTGAGATAATTTTTCGATAGTGTTTTTCCTCCTATTGAGAAATATCATTAGTTCGCGATTTAAAAATTTTATAACCTATTGACTATTTACCATTGACTATTTACAATTTGAATATTTCAATGCTCGAAAAATGTCTATCTTGCTCATTCACACCAATAGCCTGTCTACGTCGTAGCAGAGATTTTTAAAATTTTAAGGTCTGCTATGAATTTTACAAATTTCCGAAGAAATTTATTGAGGGAAACCTTGTTAATATTGTCCCTAAACTTTTACTCCTGTTTTAGATTAATTTCGAGTCGTTATTTTATATGTGAATGTGTGTCGTAAAAGGAGAACGACGTTCGTATCCGTATTCAATCGGATATTTGGTTTTGTATTTTTCTCTTAAATAATAGCATATTTGTTGGCTGTGTATTTATGCACTTTAAAAGCAACAAAGAAATTTTAGTATTTTTTAAAATGCTTTTATCAAGTCGTTGCAAAGTAACATTACTACTCCTACTATTTTGTTTACGCTTTCAATTGCAAGCCACAGATTTCTTATATTATAGATTTTAAAAAGAGCACATTTATTATTTAATAACTGCAACACGGAGGCCTAGAGTTGAATGTTTCATTTGTCATCATTTACTCAATTTCTTATGAGAAAGTTTATTCATATTTTATTCAATTCCACCATTTTCCCATCCATTTAGTCTTTCTGAAGTTTTTAAAAAATGCTTTAAATAACCGATTAATTAAACGTGTGTGAGTATGCATATATAGAATGTTAATGAGAATAAGAAACAGTTACGATTTAACAGAGAGTCTTATAATAATAATTCGTTTGATAGCTATTTATAAATTGTTAATGAAAGAAAACAAAAGCTTTTCATTGACATTTACGCTTAGATATAATATGCAATTAATTTATGCATATTATACAATCCACGCGATATTTGTACAATTAATTAATAAAGAAAAAAAACATACATATATATATATATTTTTTACGTAAATAAAAATAAGAGGATCGATAGAAAGTGCTGAAGAATTTTAATATATTCGCGTATCTTTTGTTGTTTTGTGCGTGGTTGGCATATATTTTCTTAACAAATGTTAAAATTTAGAGCAAAAGTAAATATTTGGATTTCATATATAATGCCCCTATAGGCCTTCGAATTTTGCCTTCGTGGCATATTCTGGCACTGCATTTAGTCACTAGGTATAAAAGGGAACGGTATATATTCTTGTCGTAGTTGTTTTGACTTTGTATTAATTTAAGTATTTGCCAGGAATAGATTTAAAAAATCGCTTCGATATCAATTTTACTATAAAACAAGTTTGTTAAGTACCGCCGACCAGGCAGACAAAAATGGCCAGCGACTTGTAATGTCATGCGGTCCATCGTTTTATGATTTCTTTCATTTTAGTGAACAGATATAAATTGCGAGCAAATTTTACATAGATTCATATCGAAATTATCGGGTATAGTTGATCAAAAACTTTAGCATACTATAGTATTCTTTGCATAACCCTATAAAATATTCGTAGGAAGCCCTAGTTCAATATCTCTAATACATTGTAAGTAAAATCATTTGTCCATTGTCGGTGTGTTTGTAAGAGGCTTATACCAATTGTTGCGCTTTCGTTTGGAATGGCTTTGGTAAGTATATGTTGTCTAAGATTTAGATGGATACGAATAAGAATAGAGATTGCAAATAAAAGCGCGTTGCCCATTATGGTCGTGGGCGGATCAATTCCACTTTTAAACTGTGGTCTTCAACTAGAACATTTATGACTTTCTATTGTAACCATAACTGTTTTAGAAATAGGCGGCAAATGTATAGATAAATATAAATCGATTCAGAATTTGATACTGATTAAGACTGCAGGCGGTTTATGACACTTTTGCTATACGTTCATCCTACGCTGACGGGTATGAAAAATTTCTTAGCATATGTTAAATGACTTACTAACTAGCATTAGCCAAACTTTTTTATTTTATTGACCTGGCAATTAATGATTAATATCTTCAGTAATCTGACATCGGAATGTATAATTATTTATTGTGGACCTGACCAGACGCTAGTTCTTTTCATTGTTCCCAGGGACGTTTTCAAGAATTTAATTTTTCATAGAAGCGTCAATTGGACTTTTAAAGTCCAGGAAGTTGAAAATATCGGCAATTTTTCTCAATCAGACCTCGTATGCAAATAGAATTAATAATAAAACCTAATGAGAACAATACTTGTAAATGCAATTGTAAAAAATATACAATAATAATAGGATTACAAATTAATTTTGTTACTTGAATTGTTTACTGCGTTAAAAATTAATTGAAAAATGTATTGATATATAGTAGATTGCCGTTTAGCAGTTTGAGAAAGGAGTGCATTAATCGCGCGCATTTAACATCAGCACTATGCTGTCCTGAAGTTACCTGATCAGCATAAAATTCAAATGTTACTTGAATGAGTCTTTCAGGTCAAATTAAGTGTTTGGCTTGAATAGATTGGAAAGAAAATTAAACTTGATGTGAAATCAATCCTTAATGGTTTAAATAACTTTAAGAACGAGCTTATTGAGTTACATAACAACTTATTTAAATAAATCACATGAATAATTTTATTTAATGGTAGACCGTGGCTCAAAATAGTGTTTTCTGATTTCCCCAGTAATTGAAAAGCAGCAGCAACTTTTTAAAATATCCATAATATTGTTGCCAATCAATCGCAAATCTGAAATCTTTTAACGAGAGATGTGATTTTAAAGCAGTCATGTAGGAGTGTTATTATTGCAACAACTTCCTAAAACTGCCCATAAGGAGGGAACACCAACGTAAGACGATATAAATTCATTCACCTTTTTTTTTTTTGAGGGTTATTGATTCATTCCAGTAAACCATAAACACTCAGTGGCTTAATTTTCTAACAGCATTTGAGCATAATTGATTAAATTGATGCTCGCTCCTGAATCGCATTTTAACAAAAATCCAGGGGAAGTCATTCACATGATATCATTTTTCAATAAAACCATCACTACTGGATTTTACTTGAATTCCTTGGCACCCAGTATATCACTTTTGGTCAGCGTAAAGTGTTGACGTGAAGATAGCGAGCTATAGTTTAAAAATATACGTCCTAGGCGAAGTCTAACAATAAAGAAGATTCGCCTAAAAACTCGCTTAGACTATCTAGCAAATTAAAAAAGAAAACATATTTCAAAGGTTTGTACACTCAGTGCGTAATAGCGTAAATATATTGTAAATATATTGCAAACATATATCTGATCGTCCAACTGACATAACACTAATCAAGAAAAACTGAACAATATTTATTTATTTTTGTTTGAAGTGTTCAATTGCAATATTCAAAATTACGGTTCGAATACCAAGTCAATAGGTAAAAGTTATAAAAACAAAATTTTGTGGAAAAATTATTCTACCTTTCTTCCTTGTGCCTTTCTTGTGCCGTTTTTAATGGGATCCGTATAATTCGTGTATGTGCACCTATGGCTTCCTTGATTGGAGTTTTCAAGAACAGATCCACTGGCAAGCATGGCTTTGTTGGCCTAACCGTCTTCCGCTAATCATTTGACGGGTTCTCAATACCATAAGCGTCTCAAACGGCATCAAGGAAATTAACAAAAATGCATCTAACTACGCGCATTATGTTCTATACCTCGGTATGGAGTACAGAATATTTATCAAGTATCTGTAACGTACAGAAGTTCGAATTTGTACGACGTTCATAGTGGAGTCTGTTTAACCGCTGCTTGTTTCCACACATTTGCGATCGTCTGTAGCAGTATATCAAACGTTAGCGGAATAGCGTTCCATTGCACATTATTTTTCAATTTGTGAAAGACATTTTTTTTTTTTTTCCAATTCGTGTCAATCTTAGCTATTACTTTATATATCAAATAATCTCTTGTTCTTCTCCCTTTACATTATGCACTTGAAACGAATTTGCGAGCTTGCGATTGGCTACCGTATGGACTAGCGGTTAGAATGTCCGCCGTATATCGGAAAAAATTTAAGTTCGATCCCTGGTGTAGTAGACCGTAACTTGTACTCCACTATATATGAAATTTTGAAACGAGAGTAAGATCATAACAACCGGGGTAAGTAGACTTTATTAGAAACGTATAAAAGAACATCGTTTTAAACACATTTGTTTTTCTTTACTTTTGCATTGTATTCAAATTTGTGAAAAATTAAAATTTTCTTCCTCTCGAAAAAATGTTTTCGGGAAACGCATTTTCCATTGTACGGCCGCTTGGTTCGTCTGTCTTTTAATTTCACAAAGGTTATTATACGATCGCAAGACTTAGATAACCTTGAAAAGGTGCAACTTTGAGTGGACTCGAGATATTCTTATCTTTAATTTTCACTCTATAACAGGTATCAGTAGAAAATTGGGAACAAGTGTTTATCAGAGCAGCATAAATATTCGCAGCAGCAATAATCCCAATCAGTTCGGTTCGACATGCTTGCTATTAAGAAAGAGTTTCGCAAGCTCTAACTACGCTCCGACCGAGTACTTAAGATTCGTATTAAAGCGTCGTATAGTAAAAAATTTAACTTCTTTTAATTATATTTATATTATTTTCTTAATATGAAATTTTTTGTATGGGTGCTCGTTAAAGAAAAGATGAAATAATAACTTTGATTCGAAAAATTTTTCAAAATCATTAAAGAATTTTTTAATTTTTTAAT